GTTGTACCCCATATTGACTACCCCACTACAGCCTAAACATATATAGCATATATATAATTTGATACACCCCAATAAGCAAAGTGGGGGAGAGCAAGGGGTCACAAGACCAGTCAAGAGAAGCAAAGCAAGCTCAGGGTGGATCACAACGTCACCACACACACTGAGCACAAGCAAAGGGCCACAAGGTCAGTTCACATGCAGAGGTATATATGCAATAACAACAGCACAGTGATCTCTACCTAGTAGAGCAAGCATGCAGGTATATATATAGATCACAGTACAAGCAAAGTCTACAGCAAGTGAGGAAAAGTGGGCACAAGGCCTAACAAAGTGCAGAAACGCTGATGATCACCAGACGGAAGTGCCTTGGTGAATATCTCAGCAGTGTTGGCCCGAGTGGCCACGTGAGCAAGACGAAGCTGACCACGCGGCTGCAACTCTCGAGCAAGGAAGTAACGCAGAGTGATGTGCTTCGTTCGGTGCTCCAGTTTGTGCTCCTGGCTGCCTTGTTGTCTATGTACAGAACTGGAGTAGAACGAGGCCGCTCTCCCAAGTCGGTCAGCAGGTAGGTGAGCCAGCGTAACTCCTGTGCAGCCATGGCTGTGGCGTAGATCTCAGCCTCACAACTGGAGTTGAGAACAGAAGACGAGCGTGTAGACCGCCAAGAAACAGAGCCAGAGCCAAGACTGAAGGTGTAACCCTGTGACGATCGCTGCGTAGCCAGGTCGTCAACCCAAGAAGCGTCCGAGTGCCCAGTGAGGACAACGTCGCCCCGTCCTCCAAGCACGAGCCCCATGCCCGATGTACTGCACAAGTAGTGCAGAACCCTCGTAGCAGCATCCATGTGCACCTTTCGGTGCCTACCAGGAGCCACGTAGCGAGCCAGAAGGCCAAGACGGTACGCAAGGTCAGGACGAGTGCAGATCATCAGGTACATGAGGCAGCCTACTAGCTCTGGGTAAGGACCACTCGGCTCTACAGAATTTTCCGAAGGTGGAGCTGAGAGCGAGTAACCTGTAGCCAGGGGAGTGGCCTGTGCCGAGGACCAGGTGAAGCCGAAGCGCTGAAGGACCTGCTGCACCATGTGTGACTGAGTCAGTGTGATGGTGCGGCGTGCTCTGTCCCGAGTGATCTTCAGGTAACTGCGCAGCTCACCCAGGTCTGTGCACGTGTGTCTCTTCTGCAGCTCCGACTTCACCAGGGCGAGAGCCTTAGTGTCAGCAGTGGCAATGACCAAGTCGTCGACGTACACGAGGATGTAGAACGGCGGCAGTGAAGTGTCGGTGCGCAGAAACAGCGACGGGTTAGCAGTGGAAGGAGCAAACCCAAGAGCCGCAAGTGTCGTCCTCAGTGTGTCGTGCCACTCACGTGGCGCCTGGCGGAGACCGTAGACTGGCCGCCGGAGGCTCCACTGGGTACCAGGAGGGAACGACCCAGTGAAGCCAAGTGGGCGGCGCAGCCAGATCTCCTCGTGCAGGGAGGGGAGTGATTGTGGTGTTGTCGTGAAAGAAATAGCGGGAAGCACCAGAGTCAAGTGTAAAGGTGTGCAAAGCCTGAGCGGATGCAGTACCAGGGAGAACAGACTCACTAGCACCTAGGGCTGCAGGCTCTATACCTGGGGCTATACCTAGGTCAGGCGGTACACACAAGTAGCAGTCACCCTCAGCACTAACATTCAATGCATACATGGCAGCAAGAATAGCATCATAGTCAAGATCAAAGATAGGAACATCACGCCTAAGCAGATCTGCCCAAGGGGGAAACTCAGTTGCCTCAGCAAACTTGACGCGCTAGGCGTCGCTGAGCCGAGAGAAGCAGCGGTACTCCGTGTGAAAGCCGTTGCATGGGCGACTAGAGCGGGGACCTGTGCGAATGGTATAGGTGCAACGAACAGGACCCCCAGACGCCCCACGCTCAGCGTACCAGTCATGAAGTTGCTGAGGCGTGGGGGTCTGACGCTGACGCTGCTGCTGCTGCTGCTGCTGCTGCTGCTGCTGTTGCGGCTGCTGCTGCTACTACTGCTGCTGCTGCTGCTGGTGCTGCTGCTGCTGCTGCTGCTGCTGCTGCTGCTGCTGCTGCTGTTGCTGTCCCTGGCACTACTGGAGCTCCCCTTCTGGCCGGCTCCACTCCAGCTTCCACCACCGCTGCCACCACCGCTCCCTCCTCCCCCACTCCTGCCGCTGCCACCTCCACTGCCCCAGGTACCCCCGCTGCCCCCACCACCACCTCCACCCCCACGACCACCCCCACCACCTCCACCACCCCTGCCGCCTCCACCACCGCCCCCTCCACTGCCACCTCCACCTCCCCTGCCACCCTTGCTGCCCCTGGCACTGCGGCGCCTCCCACCAGGATCGGAAGCAGGCCCGACCTCCTCAGCACCAAGGTAGTCGAGAACAGCTGTAGCAGAGGCGTAGGAGGGGGCAAGAGGGGAGGGGGAGCACCCCTCAAAGAGGGGATTGCGAGGAGTGCCACGAGCAGCACCTACAGCGAGAATGTTCTTTTCAGCTGCTAGGAGGTGCGTCTCGAAGTCGGCGACAGTGAGAGTGGTCGGGTCTAGGGCGAGAAAGTGGTCCCTGACTGAGCGAAGAGTGTCAGGGAGGCGGGTGATGAGGAAGTAGAGAGTAAAGTACATCGGGGGGTGATTCTCGGCGAGGAACTCGTCTGAAAGGGCAGCACGAAAGCGAGCGTCACTAGCGCGGAGATGAGAGATGAGGTCCTCAGCGGTGATAAACGAGGTCAGGTTGGGGAACAGGTAGGGTTCCATGAGACGGCCTACGGCTGCAGTGGCTGGGGAAGAGTAGCGGGCAACTACAGCCTCATACAGTGCCTTAGCAGTCTTGTGCTGACTAAAGTGCGGGCGCTCAGGGTTCGGCGGATGTTTGCGAATAGCGAGGCGCGCAGCAGCATCACGAGTCTGCCACTGTGAGCGGTCAAGAGCGGCAGCAGTGTCAGCAGGAGCATCGGAAGTGCCAGACGCGTGATCAAACAGTGAAACTCCGTCTTTGGCATCAGTCATAAGAAACAGTTGCAGGTCGTCCAGCCAAGTGGCAAACTCTATCGGGCGACCGTCAGGATCGAAAGCGAGGACATTGAGAGTCGCCATGAGTGCAGCGCAGGTGAGAGTAGCGCGTAGGCGGCAAGGCAAAGCACAGACAGGAGAAGCTGCGCACAGGGCGGCAGTGGCGGCGCACAAGCCGCTGAGGCGGCACGTACGTGGCTAGGGTGGCGCGCAGGGCAGCGGCGAGGCGCGCGCAGGCTGCTGAAGTGGCGCGCGGGCGGGTAAGGCAGCGCGCGAGGCAGGAGCGGGCCGCGCTAGGGCGGCGGACGCGACGCGCTGGGCAGCAGCGGGCTGCATGGGCAGCGGACGCGGCGCACGGGGCAGCAGCGGGCTGCGCGGGCGGCGGACGCGGTGCGCGGGGCAGCAGCGGGCTGCGCGGGCGGCGGACGCGGCGCGCGGGGCAGCAGTGGGCTGCGTGGGCGGCGGACGCGGCGCGCGGGGCAGCAGCGGGCTGCGCGGGCGGCGGACGCGGTGCGCGGGGCAGCAGCGGGCTGCACGGGCGGCGGACGCGGCGCGCGGGGCAGCAGCGAGCCGCGCGCGGGCTCCTAAGGCAACGCGCGGGGCAGCAGCGGGCCGCGCGCGGACTCCTAAGGCGGCGCGCGGGGCAGGACCAGGCGGCGCGCTCGGGACTAGGGCAGCGCGCGCAGGCAAGACAGAGCGCGCGGGCAGCGCAGTGCAGGCACGACGTGGGGCAGCTCAGTAACCGCAACGGTAGGTGGGCCCTAAAAAAAATCGGTCCTACGGACCTACTGCTCTGATACCATGTCAGAATGCTAGGCAGGAATGAATAAACTAGGAAAGTGTTGGGTACAAATATGAAACCCTAGAAATGGCTATACCCTATATTGGCTACCCCACTACAGCCTAAACATATATACTATATATATAATTTGACACTGGCACAAATTTGAATTCTGACACGTTATTTGTGTCAGACTTGAATTCTGACACTTTACTTGTGTCAGACTTGAATTCTGACACAGATCTGATGTGCCGCTCGCGCGAAATTTGCGCGAATTCGGTACGAATATAAGACCCCCCCGCCCCAAATTGAGCTGTACACCCTAAATAACAGATTGATAGATGATAAATAAGTGTACCCCGGGTCTTCAAATTTTGCAACCGCCAAGATGTCCACCCTAGCATTTTTTCAAGCAATACGGTATTGTAATGTCACACATCCACGCCAGAATGCATGCAACACCTCGCAGCCACCCTCGCGTTCATCCTCTCACTCAAACTTGCGCTCGCGCTCACCACTTATACACGCACACACAGTCGAGCGCCATCGAACTGAACTCATACTGACATTCATGCTCGCACTCGCCCTCACACCTGCACTCACTCTCCCACCTGCCTCGCACACACGGTCGCACGCACCTTCACACTCACCCTCGCACTTACTCTCGTTCACCCTCGCACTCGCCCTTGCGCTCATAACCGCACTTCGACCTCACGACGCCCGCGCTCAAGGTGCCAGCACCCTAATTGCAAGCATCAATAGCGCCCGCGCCCACTGCACCCGCGCCTCAGGCGCTAGCACCCATGGCGACCGCGCCAACGGCGAAGCACACGGCGCCAGCGCTAATACGTGCGAGCGCTGTAGGCGCCAGCACCTTATGAGCCAGCACCCACGGTGCTCGCGCCCAGGGCGCCAGCGCCCTAAGAGCAAACGCCTTAGGCGCCGGCGCCCACGGCGCTAGCACCTTAGGCGCAAGAGGCGATGGCGCCTGCGCCCACGGCGCCAGCGCCCTAGGTGCAAGCGCCTTAGGCGCCAGCACCCACGAGACCAGCATGCTAAGGCACAAGCGCCAACGGCGCCCGCAATCAAGAGGAGACCATTCGACATGAGGAAACTACGAATAAGGTAGGAAAATTAGGGGATTTCAGAGGGGGAAGGGAGGAAAAACGGACCAGGAAATGTACACGCACATGCAAATCACGGTGCCTCAGAGGCGAACCCGCACTTGCGTACCAGTTCCCCCTCGCGCACCGTCTCGTGACCTGTCGCCAGAGGTGACGACGGGTTGGGAGGGAGAGGCGGCGACGGGACGGGAGGGAGAGGCGGCGACGGGACGGGAGGGAGAGGCGGCGACGGGACGGGAGGGAGAGGCGCGGGACGGGAGGGAGAGGCGGCGACGGGACGGGAGGGAGAGGCGGCGACGGGACGGGAGGGAGAGGCGGCGACGGGACGGGAGGGAGAGGCGGCGACGGGACGGGAGGGAGAGGCGGCGACGGGACGGGAGGGAGAGGCGCGGGACGGGAGGGAGAGGCGGCGGCGGGACGGGAGGGAAGAGGCGGCGACGGGACGGGAGGGAGAGGCGGCGACGGGACGGGAGGGAGAGGCGGCGACGGGACGGGAGGGAGAGGCGGCGACGGGACGGGAGGGAGAGGCGGCGACGGGACGGGAGGGAGAGGCGGCGACGGGACGGGAGGGAGAGGCGGCAACGGGACGGGAGGGAGAGGCGGCGACGGGACGGGAGGGAGAGGCGGCGACGGGACGGGAGGGAGAGGCGGCGACGGGACGGGAGGGAGAGGCGGCGACGGGACGGGAGGGAGAGGCGGCGACGGGACGGGAGGGAGAGGCGGCGACGGGACGGGAGGGAGAGGCGGCGACGGGACGGGAGGGAGAGGCGGCGACGGGACGGGAGGGAGAGGCGGTGGCGGGGTGGGAGGGTGAGGCGACGGCGGGATGGGTAGGGAAGGCGATTGCGGGATAGGAGGGGAAGGCGATGGCGGGCTAAGAGGGTGGCGGCGACGGTACGAGAGGGAGAGGCGACGGGACGGGAGGTGAGGGAGTGGCGACGAAGGGGTGAGAGCGAGCGGCGAGGGGAGGGGTGCGAGGAAAAAGTGATACACCGTGTCCTCGCCAATTTCACGTCACCTGAGATTTTCCAAAAATCACCCTTGACCATTTCTGGCTTTAGGGATCAAACATTCAGTAACTGCAGGCTATTCATGACATCCTTTGGTGTCGATCTCGCGAAATTCTCCCTCAGTAAGTGCAGCGCATAGACTGGATCTTCCGCTGCGACTGTGTTTTCTTTTTTTGGGTTGCGGAGCAACCTATTGCAATCGACTAGAAGGAAATTTATTTTTTCAGGGTATTTAAGTATTTTCCCTAAACTCTAAAAAATCTACACGTTTTTTCTCAGATTATCCTCTAATAGTAATATTCATGTTCTTCACATGTTTTAATCATTAAAAATCCTGATCACTATGTTATCATTTTTATCTTAAAAAGCAATTCGTACTTGCAGACCTTCAGAGGTTACAATCTCAGTGGAGAAATATACCGATCGAGCAAAACGATCATTATATTTCTGTTCCATCTCTGATGAGTTCACAACACAACAGAGGCGAATGTATTTATCGATAGAATTGATGAATACATGTCGAAAGTTTTAAGTTTGAAGTTATACGAAAAATCGATATTTATGCTACCGCTTCCCCAGCCTAGCATGGGGGGGAAGAAGATATGGCAGTATAAACGTTCAATGAATAACATGACATGAAGCAGTACAATCTGCAAATCCCAAAGAAAAAACTACACCACTGATCAAGTCCAGCTCAAAATGGCTTCACTATCGTAGTGGTGCACCACTCAGCCTTATTTGACGATGACCAATGAGTTTTCTCTTTGAAACATGCAGACATGCATTACGAGTGAGATGAAAAGCAGCAGATGATAAACATAAGAAAATATGCAAGAAATCTAACAATCAATAATTATACATAGCAGTTAAACTATTGCTCTATTGGTTGTATCCTCCTTTCCATCCCACCTACGGTATACCAGAATCTGCATTAAAAGGGCAAGGCATAACAAACACAGAACACACGTGGAAGGTGTCAGATTTATATGACTTAGCTGCTGTAGGCTATAGTGGGGTAGCACATATGGGGTACAGCTTTCTAGGGTTTGTACTTGTACCCAACTTTCCCTTAGCCATTCTCATTCCTCGTTTATTTTCACATGGTATCGAGCAGGTTCCCCTGTGGGAACTGTTCCTAGGGCCCACCAATTTTTTTTCCTGCCCGGAGCGCGCCCAGCCTCTGCCCGAGTCGCGCTCCCCTCTCACGGCCCCGTCGCGCCGCCCTTACGACCCCGTCGCGCCGCCTCAGCGGCCCCGTCGCGTCGCGCCTCCCTAGCGGCCCCGTCGCGTCGCCCTTGCGACCCCGTCGCGCCGCCCTCGCGGTCCCGTCGCGTCGCGCCGCCCTCGCGGCCTCCTCGAGCCGCCCTCGCGACCCCTCCACGCCGCCCTCGCGGCCCCGTCGCCTACCCTTGCGGCCCCGGCGCCACCCTTCCCGGCCCCAGCGCCGCCCTTCCCGGCCCCGGCGCCGCCCTTCCCGGCCCCGGTGCCGCCTCTGCTGGCCCCGTCGCCCCACCCTTGCGACCCCGCGGCCCCACCCTTAAGGCGCCGGTCGCCGCCCTCAGCGGCCTCGTCGCCGCCCCACCCGGCCCCGCCGCCGTCCCCACGCGGCCCCGCCGTCACCACCGAGCCGCCGGCGCCGCTGAGCCGCCGATCTACCGAGCCGCCGCTGCTGCCGAGCCGCCCGAGCCACCCGAGCCGCCCGAGCCGCCGAGCCACCTGAGCCGCCCGAGCCGCCGAGTCGCCGAGCCGCCGAGCTCCAGTTGCTGCTGAGCCGCCGTGCCTCCGAGCCGCCCGAGCCGCCCGAGCCGCCGAGTCGCCGAGCCGCCGAGCTGCAGTTGCTGCCGAGCCGCCGAGCTGCCGAGCCGCCCGAGCCACCCTGTCCGGTAAGAGCGGCACCTCTACCACTGCGCTGCCCTTACCCTACTGCTCCAGCTGCTAGTCTACTGCTGTCATGGCTACCCCCAGTGTCCTCGCTTTTGACGCTGAGGGTCGGGCCATTGACTTTGACGTCTGGGTAGATGACCTGCAGCTTTTCCTACAGTGCGACAGGGCAGACGGTCTCTCTCTCTTTGACCTCACTTCTGGTGCCTCTTCTGCCCCTGCTGCTGATGCTGACGCCACTGTTCGCTCACAGTGGGCCACACGCGACGCTGCTGCCCGTCTTGCTGTGCGCCGCCACTTGCCTACCGCTGAGCGTGCACACTTTAGTCAGTACAAGAGTGCTAAGACCTTGTACGACGCTGTAGTTGCACGCTACTCTTCCCCTGCCACTGCTGCACTTAGCCGCCTCATCCTGCCGTACCTCTTCCCTGACCTCGCCGCTTTTCCCACAGTCGCTGACCTCATTACGCACCTGCGCACTAGTGACACTCGCTACCGCGCTGCCCTTCCTCCTGAGTTCTGCGCCAAGAACCCCCCCCCTATGTACATCACCCTCTACTACGTAGACACCCGGCTCCCTGACACCCTTCGCCCGGTCAGGGACCACTTTCTCTCTGTTTGCCCCACCACCCTCACTGTTGATCTCCTCGAGGAGCGCCTCCTAGCAGCAGAGAAGAGCATAGTCGCTGTAGGAGCCTCTCGTGGTGACCCTCGTGCCCCTGTCTTTGAGGGGTGCTCCCCCTCTCCTCTCTTGCCCTCTGTTGCCTCTGCTGCTGCGGCCGACCTCGTTGGTCTTGAGTCGGTCGGTGCGGCGTCAGCCCCTAGCGGGAGACGCCGCACTGGCAAGGGCAAGGGGGGCAGGGGCGCTGGAGGAGCTAGCGGGGGCGGTGGAGGCGGCGGTGGAGGCGGCGGAGGGGGTGGGGGTGGCGGTGGGGGTGGTGGCGGGGGTGGGGGCGTCGGTGGCGGCAGTGGAGGCGGAGGCGGCGGCGGCGGTGGCGGTGGGAGAGGAGGTGGCGGAGGTGGCGGCGGTGGAGGAGGCGGCGGCGGAGGAGGTGGAGCTGGTCGGGGTAGCGCTGCGCAAAGGGTCGGCTCCGGTGGTGGTCAGCGCCAGCAGCAGCAGCAGCAGCAGCAGCAGCAGCAGCGCACTCGTGAGATCCCCCCCCCTCAGCAGCTTCGTGAGTGGTACGCTGCACGCCAGCGGGGTGGGGGTACTGGTCCGTGCACCTACGTCCTACGCACCGGCGACCGCGCGGGTGAGCCGTGCGGAGGTGCGCACTCCACCCAGCGCTGCTTTGGCCGCCTGACGGACGCTTGGCGTCACCAGTTCCCTGAGGCCACTGAGATCCCTCGCTGGGGTGAGCTGTCTAGGGCGGGAGTAGCTATCTTTGACCTTGACTTTGATGCTATTCTTGCTGCCATGTATGCTGTGACTATTAGTGATGAGGGTGACTGTTACTGGTGTTTTCCGCCCGACCCGGGCATTGGGTCTGCCGCTCTAGGTATTGGTGAGGCTGCTGCTCTAGGTGCTAGCGAGGCTGCTGCTCTAGGTGCCAGTGCGTCTGCTTCCTCAGGTGCTGGTGAGTCTGCTCTCTCAGGTACTGCGTCGGCTCCGGCCTCCCACACCTTCACTCTTGACTCGGGGGCTTCTCGCTCCTTCTTTCGAGACCGCACCACACTCACGCCGCTTGGTCGGCCAGTTGCAGTCTCTCTGGCAGACCCCTCTGGGGGTCCTGTCCTTGCTCACTTCTCCACTGTCCTCCCGTGTCCGGCGGTCCCCTCTGGCACCCTGTCTGGTCTTTACCTCCCCTCGTTCTCTACGAACTTGGTGAGTGGTGCTGACCTACAGGATGCGGGGGTTCACCAGTTCACTCCTGCGAGCCAGAGTGTGACCCACTGCACGGACGCTCGGACGGGCCGACACTTGGCCACGTTTACACGCCGGCCGGGGTCGAGCCTGTACACACTGACCACTGAGTCTCCTCCAGTCACTGCGTCTGGTCAGGCAGCTGCGTCGGGTCAGGTGTTTGCTGCAGCGTCCAGGTCTGGTCCTGAGTCTGCCCCCTGCTCGTGTCGCCTCCTGTCTCACGAGACTCTCCTCTGGCACCACCGCCTTGGTCACCCCTCCCTGCCTCGTCCTCGAGGTATGGCCTCTCGTGTCCTTGTCTCTGGTCTTCCCCGCTCCCTCCCTTCCCTTCCTCTGGGGCCTGCCCCTACCTGCGTCCCCTGTGTCGAGGGGCGGCAGCGTGCTGCCCCTCACTCCTCCCAGTTTCCTCCGACAGAGGCCCCGCTGCAGACGCTTCACATGGACGTGTGGGGCCCGGCCCGCGTCCGTGGACAGGGTCACGAGCGCTACTTCCTGCTGGTGGTTGACGACTACTCGCGTTACACCACAGTCTTCCCCTTGCGCAGCAAGGGTGATGTCACTGAGGTGTTGATCGACTGGATCCGCGCAGCTCGTCTCCAGCTCAGAGAGAGTTTCGGCTCGGACTTTCCTGTTCTGCGTCTGCACTCTGACAGAGGCGGAGAGTTCTCCTCTGGCCTTCTGCGAGCCTACTGTCGTGCACGAGGCATCCGCCAGACCTTCACGCTTCCGGACTCTCCACAGCAAAATGGGATTGCTGAGCGCCGCATTGGCATGGTCATGGACGTCGCCCGTACGTCCATGATGCATGCGGCTGCCCCCCATTTTCTGTGGCCGTTTGCGGTTCGGTACGCGGCGCATCAGATCAACCTTCAGCCCAGGGTCTCCATGCCGGAGACCTCCCCAGCTTTGCTGTGGACGGGGAAGGTTGGCGATGCGTCTGCGTTCCGTGTCTGGGGATCTCGGGCGTTTGTCCGCGACTTGTCTGCGGACAAGCTGTCCCCTCGTGCTGCTCCCTGCGTCTTCCTTGGCTTCCCCCCTGACGCGCCAGGGTGGCAGTTCTACCACCCCACCTCTCGCCGTGTTCTGTCCTCCCAGGACGTCACGTTTGACGAGTCGGTCCCCTACTACCGTCTCTTCTCCTACCGCACTCCGTCCCTCCCCCCGCCTCCGCTCTTCCTTGTGCCAGGTCCCCCCCCGGTAGACCCCCTTCCCCCTCAGGGTCCTGCCCCTTCAGGTGTGTCCCAGGTAGACGTAGTCGAGCCTGTGGAGGTCGCTGGTGACTCTGGTGCTGCTGGGGGTGCTGAGCCTGGGGGTGCTGTCTCTGGGGGTGCTGAGCGTG